CGATACAAGGAGTGCTATCAGTATGATTATTATAATTCCAATAATTATTGGTATATGAAAAGGTGATTTTGGATCGAAAGGATTCGTTATTTTATCCGTGTTTGTTGACGATTTCGTATCTGCTGCTGGATTTTTCGTTCCAATTGAAGTTGATTGTGTAGATTGTATAGATTGTGTGGATTGTGTATTTGTTAGGTTGGAATAAGGTGAGTTTGTAGGATTTGATTTTTTCAGAATGGAAGTTATATTGCGAGAATCCATTAAATTTGAATGCGATGGTCTCGTAGGAGTTGATGTTATTGTAGGATTTGATGTTATTGAAGTAGTCGAAGTAATCATATTTGAATTTATAGTTGTATGTGGAGGCATACTCTCATAAACAGAAGCGCTAAAATTTAAATTTTTATGTCCATTCATGTTTTTTTTGTTATTTTTATATTTGTCTTTATTATGGTCCTTGTGACTGTTTTTATCATTGTTTCCATCATCGTTTCCACCATCGTCTCTATCATCATCTCCATCATCGTCTCCGTCATAGAATATGTCACAACCTCTATGAATAATGCATAGATAGGTTCTAAAGCCCATATCTAATTTCTCGCGGTAATTTGGCAGATAGCGGATAAAATGTCAAGAATGAAACGTGGCCGTTTTGTATGAAAGTGAATAAGGGTGAATGAACAATATGATTCTTGAAATTAATCCGCAAAATCGCGATAATAGCAATATGACTTGCATTTTCAAAATATATATCCCTGAGTTTTGGTCTAAATGTTTGGTATGACGAATATATAGTAATCTGTATGATACTTCGAGACTAACTGTTATAAGTAAAAAAAAGATCTCTAAATATATTTTATAAGAAATGTTTCAAGAATAATCGATACCAATAGTTATCGGTTTCACAATCTTGGTAGTCTTTGTCTGATGTCTTGTTTATTTCTCTAACTGCATAATCATAATAGTTGCATTATAGAACCGCGAGCATGTTAATATAGTAATTACTTGTCGGAAAAGAGAAACCCAATTGCCGAAAATTCGATTGGTTTATTATCTACAGCATCACTCGACATACTGTTGGAATTAAATAAAAGTGTCCTATGTTGATCTTAATTAACATAGTATATAGGTATTTTTGTAATCTGCATTTTTGTAAATTGCTTGTATATTAAAGAGCGCATCATAAATAGAAATCATTTATAAAAAAAATGAAAATCGGGAATAGTTCTATAACCCTACCCTTAATCGACGATTCGTGTGCTACAATCAGGATTATGTTTACATATATCCGTTGTGTGAAGGTCACAGTACCAAGAACCTGGAAATTTTTTATACAATTTTTTTCAAAATTATAAAAAATTACGGATCATTATTTTCCGATTTTAAAAAATCTAGTTTTATTCTTAGTAAACAAAATTTATTAAAAATAACGATTAAAATAATAGCTAGTACCTTACAGCACTGCATATAGTACCCCTAAAAATTGTACAGATAATGCTCCTCTTGATTAAGACTCGAGTACAGCGAACCCTCTCTAAGTGCAAACTGTCGGGACCACTGCACTTAGAAGGATAATACAATTTAATATAATAAAATTTTATTGGCTAATAAAAATATCTTATACTTATAGCGGGAATTTTGCACATGACTGTATTTGAGGACTGTCTAGGAAAATGTCAATCTGGGAATTTGAGAATCCTCCGATTGATCATAATACCTTAGACCTAGACCAATTCTCATTTTACATCACCCATATCGATATGGCTTAACGTTAATTCTTGAATAATATCCGGGTATAACTATATATATTAAATAGTTATTGGATGTGTAGCATCCAATAACAGTTTTATTTGGCAGGAGAAATGAGAATACCGTGATCCG